CCTGTCAAAGGACGAATATTTTCTATGACATTCAGGCCGGTAAATGTTATTTAATACTGTTTATTATAAACAAACCATTTACTTAAATACTTGTATCTATAAAAAGAACGTTAAACATAAAAATGTCTTTAATAAATATATATATATATTATCTTGTTCCGAGTACTTGATTAGTACTTTCCTCAATGCTGAGTTTATTGTCAGGCAAACAGGTAAGATCCTTCCACTTTAGAAACTGGCACAACACAAATCTCCTTTCACCTTATTGTCTCTTTTCCAGATCGATTGATGGGGACTGAACAGTGTGGATTTACCACAGGTCACACTGGTATGAACAAAGAACATGACAGTTTTACGCGTGATCATAAGAACGTAATCTTGAAGTATAATTTAAATACCAAAATTGCATGGTTTTTAGCAGCTCTCAAAGAAATCGAGAATCAATTTCATTCTGATTAAATTGTTCTAAATTTCCCGTTCAGTCCAATGCTGCCATATGAAATCTCATCTCTCTCTGTAAACTTAATAAGGCAAAAAGCCAGGCTTACTGTGACATCACGTTGGAAGACAGGTTCCCGTAAGATCACCTAAGCGAAAACAATGTCGAGCCTGGTCGGTGCCTAGATAGGTGATAATTTAAAAATACCAGGTACAATAAGCTTGGATATGCGGGTGGTGTAATGGATAATGTCTTGGAATTGTTAATCGGAGAGCAGAGTTCCAATTACCGCTGGCTTTGTTATATTCCCTCACTCGCAAATACCCTTGGAAAAAGTGCTGACTCACCTCTTCTCCACCAGCTATGGGTTAATTAGTAAAACTCACTAAAAACATTTGTTCTCCCCTCCAAATTCATACATCTAAAAATATTATTTGAATTTAAATATCCTGAAAAGGGTTGATAAGCCACAGAAAACGAATTAATCAAGAAAACAAGCAAGACGGCAGTCTCTCTGTTTCTTTAACACTTCCGCTGCTAAATACGGAGATCTTTTTTCTTATCTTGCTCCAGATGGCTAAGTACGGAAACCTATGTTTTTTGCATACCACTGGTATGAGTGTCCCGTTGCGCCATCTATCGTCAAATCACAAAGGACAATGCTTCAAAAGATACCATGTGTATACCCATTACTAATCTGGTAAGTCATTCCCAGGTATATCCATGAAAATGGAATGCTGTAAAACACACTGGTGCCAGTTTTCTGTGTAATAAAATATGTAGTTTGAAATTTGGCATTTTCTTTAAAAATGGCTGGCCGGATGAGGGCAGCACTGGGCAAATGAGTAGCAGTGAAAGTGTTAACTACTGAACAAGTCGAGAATTTACAACAACGAAATAAATATGAGCTATATTATTAACTATCCTAAAACTAGACTAGGGCGTGCAGATAGGGAAATGAGTAACTATGAATGACAGCAAAGAAAATCTTTTACTAAGAATTTGATCTAAGATTTACTCACGAACAAGAAGCCCAGAATGTTCGATTTAATGAAAACCGGATAAAATTTGTTCTATAAGCGAATTATGTTAGTCATCATTATCTTATGATGGGAACCATGATGAAACCTAAGTTTACATTTCACATAAATCTAGAAAAGGACCGATGTCAAATAAACCCCTGCCTGATGCATAGAGTTCTACGTTCAGCAATAATAATCGAAAAATGTGTTCAGCTTGATCGATTTTGAGCCGCTCAGCTAGTGGGGTTTTGTGAGCAATTTCTTTCGCTGGAACAACCAAGACAGAAAGTGCAATGGATTGGATTAAAATGTTGGTTGATGGGAATGCTGTTTGGCTTGTTCTTTCTCGCCATTATCTCAACCTTTAGGGCTTTCAGCAGAGTAAGCATCACCAGGCAAGAGATAAATGACGCTAAATCATCGACAAAATTGATTTGGGCGCCACGCGTCACTGTACTGTTCGGCGAAGTTTCTCAACAAATCGCCAAGTCATGGGACTCAGAGGCGGTGGTGGTTGTTGCTGGAGTGGATAAGATTCCGCAAGACAGATTATAAGTATTATTCCATTTTCCACAGAGAGAAATACTGTTCATGGTGAGCATTTGCAATTAATATAATACCACAAACTTTTGCGGAGTTGGGGGAATAAGTGTTGATATTTATTACTCACAAGAATAACTATGGAAGTAAGATTGTATTTTGCCAGGTTTTCAAATGGTTGATTTGAAGGCCTCGGATTTAAAATCTTGCATTTTGCTTCGTCTCGAATACTTGCCAATGGTACGGGTGAAGAATTTGTAAATTCTTCATCAGGTAGTGGCTTATCGTTTTCTTCTGGATTATAAAGTATATTTCATTTAATCATAGAATAAATATCGCAATGATTAGGTTCACATTTATTGGCTTAGCTAATTAAGGCAAAAGTCCAACTGGAAATGAAATCTGGTGAAAAGAATATATTGTGCCAATCTTCCAAACAGGTAATGCCTATCGCGTTAAAATGTTGTTTGATGTTGGTTTGATCTCAAACACCATCTAATAGTACCGTCGGAGAATACCGAAAAAAATTCCTGACAATGTAGCTTCCATAAAATAATCATGATCTTCATTTACATTATTTACATCGGACTATTGTCCTCATCTTTGTTGTGTACCCCGGCATTCATCAGGTGTATGTTAATCATGGTAACCTACAGGCACAACACTCGAAACGTTTTGATAACAACAACAAAAATTAGGACAATAGTCCGTATGTAAACAATGTAAATAATGATAAATCCTCATCCCAGAAATTCAGACAGAAATTACGATCTTTAGTTGAAAATTACAATGTCTAATAAGGAAATCAACCTAAAAACAACTGCTTTGTATTTGCTCGTTTTATCTCATAAAATGTCAAATGGGAGAGAAAGATTGTGTTTTGTATTTCTTCCGAATGGGGAGGGCCTGACTGCGTTAAACAAAGGTAATGATGAACTAGGAATGTAAATTGATAACATGACACTGAAGCTCTCATACAAAACATTATATTTTATTTCACTCCGAATTTTTTTATTATTATTATTATTATTATTATTATTATTATTATTTTCATGGTTATTATTGGCTAATGTAGGTATGCTTCCCTGGGACTCCATTCACGCATGCACTTTACACTCACGTGTGCGACATTTAAAGAAATTGACCATCTTCTCTCTGTGTCGAGTGTTTTTACACATACAGTCTGCTATGGATAAAGTGTCATCCAAATTAGACAAAAATGAAAATAACACTAACACTAACATCTCATTTTAACAGATATATTTACCAAAATCACGCAAACATATCTTGAAATGCAAAGGAATAAATTTATTTAAATAAAATCGCCATTGGCTACAACCACGGTCTTCAGACGACTTCGGAATCTCCTGCAACTCATCCGGACGGTCTCCCTGTTAAAGTTGGTGAATGCTGTCATATTCCTTGTCTTCAGTTCATCTTTGGTGTTACAAAAAGTTTTGGTTGTCTCTCACTCGACTGCGCTCTACACATAATAATCTAGTGGGTTGCAATCTGGGAAGTTAGGTGGACAGATGTAAGGGTGAAGTGGTCACAGAAATTCTATGACACACAATCTGAATCCTTCTGTTTGTGTGACATGGTGCAGAGTCCTGTTGGCAGATATAGGGTCTTCCATCAGCCAGCCTCTTGTCGCAGGGCGACATTACCTTCTCAAGGCACTTGATGTTAACGATGTTCACCATAGTCTATGAATATAGAATACAACGCAGTACGTAATGAAACAAGGTAAAAGTCAGACACTCTACTGAATCCGCCTATATCGCCAATACTACCAGCAGCTGTTCTGTAATTTTTCAGTCATCGATATCAAAGGCTGGCTATCAGTGAATATTTGGGAAAAAACATGGCTGCCTTTATACACGTCGCATTGAATATTTTGAGCCTTCTGATTGATTAACCCTTCTATTGGTGAACTGTAAAATGAGTCAGCTCATTTTGGCTGACTCACAAGTAATACCCAAAAATTCCAACACTTGATAAATCAAATGATGAGTCTGATTCCCTGTGTGAAGATGAATGGAGGCATAACATTGCCATCACTAGTGATCACTTCAAACATCATGATGTCGACTGGATATATCATTCAACTCTTTCCTAATCTTCTTCAATATCCCCCGATTGACACCCAAACACGCTGAAATGTTCGTATTGGAGTTTCCAGCACCAAAACCAAGCAGTACAGCATGTCGTTTCCAAATTTATATATACAAAAGAATTACTTAACTGTAATTTTCCTCGACTCCGAAGTTTCGTAGTAAAATGTCCACTTTTCAAAGAGTTAAAAAAAATAATAGCAATTACAATAAGAAGGTTGCAATAATTGTAATTGTACAAATAAAAACAACTGCTCACTTAATAATAAATGTTTAACTAATAATATAATATATCAAGCAACTGCGTTAAATAACATTAATACAGGTGAAAAAATTTATATAGGAGCAACTGAAACAAGTTTTAAAGAAAGATTTAATAATCATAAAATTCCATTTAAAATAGACCGATGCGTAAATAAAATATTATTAATATATATATATGGAGGCAAAAACTTCACCCCATCTTTTCTATATTTTCATGGCAATTGTCCTCATGAGCTGTTTTTCTTGGTGCTGCGACTAAATAAATTGAAGAGTACTACAAGATTGGTAACTAGGTCTCACTGTTTTATTGTTAATCTAGTTAAATTAAACGATCATTTCTATTACAACAGTCTCTTTTTTTTCTTTTTTTCTTTCTTTTTGCACTTCTCGCTTGTGGAACTCATTGCCGATTTCTTGCTTTCTTGCGATCTAAAATCTTTAAAAATGTAAATGCAACGTTAATCGCCATTTTCCGTCTTCCTGAATGCTGTTTCTTTATAAAGTCCCTCCATTGTTTGTAATTCTGTGTTATCTTTTTGTCAGACTGGTTGACATCGCAGATTAGAGAGCGCATATTCCTAATTGTCATCCATTACACCATCCACACATCACACATTCAAGCTTGCCTCACGTGGTATTCCCAAGCGGTTACCAATCTAGGTACTGACCAGGCTTGACGTTGCTTAACTTTGGTGATCGTACGAGAACCGGTATTTCAACATGATAAGACCATACGTTATAAATGGTATCTGTTTTATGTAGTCTTGTTATTTTCATTTTTACGATTTCCCTTCGTATTATACTTCATAGTCATCATTAACAAGTTTTTGTGTGTCCAGTTTTACAACTGGAACAATTTCTTAAAAGATGATCCAGATTATTTCATCCAGTTTGAAATCTCATTTCTACTGACTTTTAATCTGCTATTCGCCGAAAAGATGTCTGAATGTAGATCAGTAATCGCCTTCTTTCTCAGATTCAATGGCCATAAGTTCATATCTATTGACATTAGAGAAGCAGTCTTCTCTTTTATAAAAGAAATGCTAATTTTGAATCAAAATAAGAAAACCTATTATATTGCAAGACTGTACTTGTAACCTGTTCAGATCTTGCCACATCTTAATAATTGATATAACGTAAATGCTTTAATCAGTCTTTACATATTTGAGCCATGCATCTAGAGAAGATATTAATATGGTACAACTATTTTTTCTTGCTATAATTATATCTTACAAACAAAACTACTGAATAGTTCTTGGCCGGAACGACATTTGAAATCTGATGGGATAGGCTTAATGAAAATAACATTAATATTTTCAATTGCATAAATGACGGCTGCTGCAAAGTTCTCAGATGTTATTTTCAATAAGCCTATTACTGAAGGTGGATACGAAAGATGGCTGTCATTAAAAAATCAGGTTTGTCTAGCAAGTGACGAAATATAGAATTTTATTGTAACTACGTTAATTTTTAATTTATAATCTTCACGTTTACCCACATCCTCTACCAAAAGAATGATTTAAGAAGCCCCCGCCCCAGACTTTATACAATCAATATGGTTCTGAGTGAAAGCCTAAATGAAATATATCGCACATTATATGGCAGGAAACACAATTATATATAACTGCAACTTTTAATAGACACCATATTTCCTACATATAATGTACACCTTCCCCTACAACGAAAATAATATTTTTTATTAAAAAGCACCTATGTTTTTATAATGCCTAGTAAGGTACGAACTTGTAGATTGATCTTATGTTATTCGGCTGTCCCTTTTCATCAAAAGTTCCACCAGAGAAATCTGCAATGAAACGCATCATGAATATTAGAAGCCGAAAAATATCAATTTACTCGGGGAAAAAATATTTTAATCTGGTAAAAACTGATTTTAACTCCCTCCTCTTCATTATTCAGAATCTTGGTTCGTCATTTCTTATTCTCATCATGAAGGTAATCTTATCCTAAATCCAAAGTAATTCCCTAAGTTGCAGTCACTCGAAATCATTAAGTGGGATTTATAAGAAAATGTTAAGTTACATGCATCCAGATTACTAAGCAAAATAATATTTTCTTTGATATACATGAAAACCAACTAATTTCTGTCTAAGGTTTTCATAGCCTGGGTGATAGTGGGGACAAACTCCCACTGTCTATAAAATGCATGCGTTTTAAATAGCCTCTGACAACTATGTCAAGCACCAAGCCGGAGAATGGGCAAATGTAGAAAACTGTCGCCCCATAACCAGCTGCTTCGAGTAGATGAAGCTCTACAGCCCAGGAAGGCAGTCCATGTAACGGAGTGAAAACCCTGATTTTAAACCTCTGCTGCCTTGTGGTCACATCCAAAAGGCTATGGAAGTAAATTCAGAGAGAAAACCCGGTGTGAAGCCCCGAACGCGGTTGGCTGTCAATACTGATAACTATCTGCAACTCCTGCAACCAAGCCATCCCCAAATATAATTGCTGGGATGAGGAGTTATCCATATTTACACAATTTACATTCTGACTTTCGACCTCATTTTTGTTGTTGTTGTCTCAACGTTTCGGCCTTTGTGTCCTTCGATCCTTCATCAGGTGTACGTCGATCCTCGTAATCCTGTCACGCTTGATCTCCCTTTCTCACCGTTTCTCTTTCATTCTGCTGTCGCTGCTGAAGATTTTTGCTATCAAGCTTGGCTCTCCCTGCCGTGGAAGCTTTGGTTATTTGGGAGTAAAAACTCTGACCGTAAATGATTTTTTTTTCTAATTTATATCTACTAGTATACATATATTCTATCTTCGTCAGCTTAGAAATTCTTGAGGAAGCTAATTTACATACCTAGCTTAAAAAAAGAAACTTTTTAAAGAGTAATTTTGTTCTGTATTTCCTTTTCCACCTCGACTTTTTACGGTATTTATAAATAATTCATTGTTTTCTTGGTGATTTTTAGTATTAAATTCTTGCACTTTTTTTTTTTATACACTTTTTTAAGAAAGGCAAAACGCCTATCTCGCATCTTCCGCTATGGATTAAACAGCAGAGTATACTGTACTATTTATCTTTTATTGGCAACCAGTCTAAAAGTAAGAAAACTCTGAATTTCAAGCCGTGCAGAAGGCGATTGGAAACAACTCCACGATCTTTCTCAATGACGTGTGGCAATTTGAAAATAATAAGATAATGAAAAGCCATGATCACATTTGTCCTGTTGGAGCATGGCATTTTTTTTTTACAAGTTATTCTAATAAATCCACTCTCTGCCTTGGAAACGATAATCACTTTACCATTTAGATCACTGTTTGTAGTGAAGGGAAATAAACAATAGATAAAGAGAAATAAACAATATATACATTATTAATAACATATTTTGAGTATCCTAGTATGTTCTGGGATCATGTCACTTGAATCAAGGTAATAAAACCACTAAGACGCAAGGGGTTTATTGAGTGTGAGAAAATTTGAGAGAAAAAAACACTATTAAGGAGAGAGAACAATAAAAGAACAAGAATTAAGAAGACAGATGATAATGATTGAAACTTCATTTAAATTTTTGAAGATCAAAGTTAACTAGAAAGCAAGAAGAAAGAGAGTTCCACAAGCGAGAAGTGCGAGAGAAGAAATTGTTAACATAGAACTTATATCTAGCAATTTCGACTGTAAAAGGTTGAGACCTTGCCGCCAGTTTCGTACTGCGCTTAAATTCATTAAGTCTAGGTACCGTAGAGGAAAGTTAATCAGAACAATTACCATGGAAATATAGAAAAGGAAACAGAGAAGCTACGTTACGGCGGTAGTAAAGTGACTGCAGCTGAAATGCCAGATCAGGGCCAATAACATTGCAGATTATTCTTTTAATTTTATGAAAGACATCTAAATACATAAACAAAGCACCAGACCAGATGTGGCAGCAATATTCAATGCATGAAATAATTCATATAAATTATATAACCTCATGGTTAGAAAGCGAACGTTCTAACCACTTGGCCGCATAATTCTTTTATTTATACAAAATAATTACTGGTTGTAATTTTCCCCGACTCAGCAGTTTCATGGTAATATGTCCACTTTTCAAGGGCTTAGTCCGTATATTAAATATTTTCAATTACAATGAATATCCGTTTTTTTTGTTTGTTTGTTTTTTTTTGTTTTTTTTTGTTGTTTTTCTTGCATCTTTTTTTTAACTCCGATATGGCCGTGCGTATGTTCATGTTTTTGCATGTGATCACGTTATCATTCATAAACGTAATTATTTTTCAATTGCAAATTTTTCAATTTTTAATTATCATTGTTATTTTTCGAGAGGGTCAGACACGGTAGCCACGATTCAAGGAGCTATCGGGAGGAAAACTTTCAAGTGAACACATGCCCAATCATTGGTTTATCATTCCCCATCGTGCGTGGTAGGCTTTCTAAGGAATCTGACTGCAGGAAGCTTCAAAATTCTTATCCAAAACAAATGCAATCTATCACTATCAGGTATTCCGATCAATAGCTCGTCATCCTGGCCCAGCCTCCGTATTCTGTAGTAAAACACCTGTGATACATCTACCTTCTTTTCAGGACTTTTCACTCACTTGCAATTTTATTCCCTTTGTCAAACATGGAAAAAGTGTACATCCCGTAAAATGCCTGAATAAAACATATTCAGTAGACTCTGATACATGCACGAACACACAGAGTATCAGATGATGAAGTAAAACTATTGATTTCAAATTGAAGCAATCCGATCGAAAATAAATATATCAGTTATCACGGGAGAAATATGGCTAAGAAGTTAGATGAGAGCGGAATAAAATTGCCGCTAACAGTGGGAGTTGTTTACCACGGCATAAGGTAACGCCACATTTGATAGGAAAACATATTGACTTATGTTCCCTGATGTGAAATTAATGGAACGGTTGACTTTTTAAATAAATCAAAACGACCACGCTAGACAAATCGGCCATGATACCCATCGATATATATCTTTGATAATTCAAGTCATATATCAAGACTAGCAGCATGGCCCGGCGTTGTCCGTGCTTGATTCAAAAATCGTACGGCTCATACAGCAATCGCTACCACTTGACTTAAAATATTTTTGCCCTTCCTTGCCTTTAAAGGAGTGCCCTTTGCCGTGCTGATGTTGCTACATGCCTTAATTCTTGCCTATCTCACACTGCGAATTTTTTTTCTAAGCTCTATACTAAACATTAAATCTGTTACGAAAAAAGAACTAAACAAAATGAACACCAAACGATCAGCTTTAAAGAAAGGACTCGTAAATGGAAAAAACGAATGAAAAAAGAATGTTAACAACAAATACTTTTTCACACCCAACCCAGTTCTGCGGAATCAGAATCAACTTTGAGTTTAAGCAAGCGAATGAAACAATTGGAGTAAAGTACCATGCAGATTTAAATTCTTTCCCACTTTTGACGAATGCAGCTATCGATTTTTTTGCATGCTAGCATGCTAGTTAACATTCGTGTCAGTCAGCTGTTGACTCTCACGCTGGGCAATAGAATCTTCTTGCCTATTAGTGGCAGCCAGCTATAGGCTCTCAGTCTGGCCAGTAGAAAATGGCAGCAAACTACATGAAAACTTCCGTAGAAGCATGAAAAATCGATTATTTCCACTATCGATGGAAATTCGGTCTTGGCCTTGCCGCTAACTTGGAGCATGTGCATGAAAATTTTGGTGCAAATCCGTCGAAAATTGCGGCCGTGCATATGTTACACACACACACACACACATCCTGCCTTTCATA